TTCCTTCCTTCCTTCCTTCCTTCCTTCCTTCCTTCCTTCCTTTCTTTCTTTCTTTCTTTCTTTCTTTCTTTCTTTCTTTCTTTCTTTCTCCCTTCAGAATATTTTCAGTAGTAGTTATTATCATAGGTGTTTCACAGACAGGAATTCATATTCTTCTATGTAAAACTAATATAACTTACCTTGTTCATGAAATGATCATGTTCTGATCAATGAACATATAAACAGGATTGCTATGAGGAATGTCTCACAGGCTGGGAGATGGCCACACGCACAAGCTGGAGACTGGAGCTCAGATCCCCGGGACCGGCACAAAAGCTGGCAGGCATGCATCTGCTTGCAATCCTAGCACCTGGGAGGCTGACACGGGGTCCCTGGGCCGAGTTAGCTAGTTGGTTGGCTTCCAGTTCAGCAAGGGACCCTACCTCAGTAAATAAAGCGGAGTGAGCCAGGAAGACACTTGACCTTCAAACTTTCACCCAAACACATTAGTAGTGTGCGGGTGCACACACAAAAGCACTCAACACGGCGAACATGTATACACACACACACACACACACACACACACACACACACACACACCACACGGAGGAACACCCACACACAAATAGCTCTCTAGCAAAAGTTTTCCCCCCCCTCCTTCCCCTCCCTGACAGCCTTGCTCAGCAGCTGGCGCTAAGCCTGACAGCAGCATCTTTCCTCCTGTTCAGGTTTGGGAAATTGCTCCTCCTGCTCCCGTCCTTGAGGTTCCTCACGGCTGAGCGCATCGAGCTCCTCTTCTTCCGAAAGACCATAGGGAACACTCCAATGGAGAAGCTCCTTTGTGATATGTTCAAAAACTAGTGGGCGTGTCCAGTGTTTCCAGGCGCCCCGGCAACACTCACTCTTTGGAGCTAAGTCTTTTCCTGCCTTTCTCATCCAGCAATTCCACGTGCAGGTTTTTGTACCTGGCAGAAATTTCTCCCAAAATGCTTTATTGGCGTATTCATAGCGGTCTTATTAACACCCCTAGCTCTGGACAGTAGAATGCATGGATGGGTTGTGTTATATTCATAGGAAAAACAGCTGGGGGCCGGGAGGGGATGAACAGCGGGTCCACATGACAACATGGAGATGTTTTTTGTAGGCTACAAGGTGAACAAAAGCCAGGCATGAGTAACTTTTATACAGGGTTCAAGACCAAGGAGGGGGAGGGGAAGGAAGATGGGAAAGAAAAGAAAGGAAATAAAAGGAAATGAGAAAAGGAAAAATGTGGACGAGAGCGGTGGTGGTAGAAGTCACCTCTGGGTGGGGGGTGGGGAGAGGGGAATAGACTCCTGCACCGGGAACGCCCCTGATTTTGATCTGGATGATAAACTGATGGTCATTAAAACTCAATGCGCACTTACAGTTCATGCACTTTGCTGTATTCTGTTTGACCCTGGTTAAAATAAAACCAGAAAACTGCATCCCAGGCTTTCTATTTGAGGATGGGGAAGAAATGAGGACAAGATCTTTCGAGTTTTGTCTGGTTTCATTCTAAGCCAGAGTCTGGGTGTCACAAATGCAAGCTCTGGGTACTTTTTCTCATGGGATCCAAATAATACCTCCCTTCATATCTGAAGGAGACCCCTGCACATCAGGATCTTCCTCCTGGACCCTGGATTAGGCATAAGCCACACCTAAACACCCATTTTCATAGAGAGATCCTTTATTAAGCAGGAAAGAAAAGTTAAAGTAGCTGCTTTCTGACTCGGGCAGAAAACAGCAGCAAATGACCTTGCAGGTGTAATTTATTTATTTATTTAGTTAGTTAGTTAGTTAGTTAGTTGTTTTTGGAGACAGGGTTTCTCTGTGTAGTTTTGCACCTGTCCTGGAGCTCACTTTGTAGTCCAGGCTGGCCTTGAACTCACAGAGATCCACCTGGCTCTGCCTCCTGAGTGCTGGCATTAAAGGCGTGCGCCGCCGCCGCCGCCGCCACCACCACCACCCCACCTTGCAGGTGTAATTTTTAAGAAGAGAAGAAGGGAGGCCTGTGTTAGAGTGGGCTAGGGTGCAGTGGTAGAGGAGATAGAGGATGAGGGAAAGGGGGAAGGGCACAGGGGGAAAGGGACAGGGGTATTTGTTCCAGAGGGACAACAGAGTGTCTCTGGATAGAGAGGGACAGACATGGCACATGGGAAAATGGTGGTTTATGAAGGTAATAGGAAAACTCCATGTTAAGATGAGGTGTTTAATTTTAGTTGGGCATGTTAATTAGGTAAGCCAAAGGGGGCTTTTGATTGCTGGGCTTCAATACTTTGATAGCTGGACCTTGGTGGTCAGCCTCAGGAGGAGGAAGTGGCCAGATAAGGGAATGGACCTTTGTGCCTAGCTTCAGGAATGTAATCCAATGGTTTTTAGCAAGGCAGAGGGAACGGGAAGAAGGGCAGGGCCTGTCAGAGCCACATGCTCAGGTGGACTAGTGTCTGCAGCTCAGAGCAAGACAGTCGCAGGCTGTGTGTGTGTGTGTGTGTGTGTAGAACTCTTCATCACTTCATTATCACTCTTTAATCCCTCATGGAAAGACCTGGCACAGACAAACCCTCTTTTACAAAGACAGACCCAAACAAGTTAATGAGACCTGGTAAATAATTATAAAAGTTAACATATAGGCTGGCTGTGGTCCAGCCAAGAGTACTTGCTTAAAATGGAAGGAGCCTGGGGTTCAATTCCCAGCACTACCCAGACACACAGGGATTACATATGCCAAGCCATGTGTGTAACGGGCAGTGAGCTGGGCACCCAGGTTGGGTTGTCTGATCCTCACGGAACTCCAAGGAGGGCCAGTTGTCACAGTTTCTAAATAAACAAAGGCTTCGTGGACGCCCACGTTGTTGTACCACTAATCACCGGCCGCTTAATTCCGATGTCGCCTCCTCAGTCAGTTCTCCCTTCCACTCTGGAATCAGCTAGAGCATTCTGTTGCATTTCCTGTCCTCAGAGGAGAAATGTAAGGGGCTGGAAGAAAAACAATGTGAGAAGGCCGGCAGAAGCTTAGGGGTTCCCTGGCCTTTGGCCCACATTTGAATCTCACAGCTGCAAAGACAGACATACCCTCTGCTCTGGAAAAAGTGGGCGGGGCAAAAGGTGGGCGGGGCCAAGAGGAAAGAGTTTGACAAATCCCGTCTGGTGGAAGACCTTCACGCCACAGCAGGCCAACTACTTGAGATTTGTCTTCTAAAAGCATCAGCCTGGGGCCGGCAGGATAGCTCAGTGGGGAAATGACAATTGTCGCCAAGCCTGATCTCAGTTTGAACTCGGGTGGAAGGAGAGACTTCCACATGCTCACTGTGTGCCACCCCCACCCCCAAATAAATGAAATTTAAAGGCGTCAGTCTGGCCTGTTAGTGGGTTTTCTGACATCTGTGTTGCTGCTGCGCGGTCTGATGTCACGTCAGGAGTTTACGCCTGTCCCCTTAAGGCCAGAACAAAGAAGAGAACACATGGTTGACATGGGCCACGTCTGGCCGGCCCACTCAGTTTACAAGCTGGTGTTCCAGAACAGTAAGTGTGCAAAGGTGGCCTGCTGAAGTTCTCTGGCAAAGAACTCCGGGGTTTTCTAGGAGGAAGTCTTGGAGAATTCAAGGAGGTATTTAAGCCGAGTCATCTGCCCTCAGTTTGGTCTCAAAGCCAGCTATTCCTCTGAGGGCTTCCCCTTGTGGCAGGACCACCAGAAAAGGCGGGTTTCCCTTTGGATCTTAAAGGTCTCGCAGAGGTGTGGAAGGCGTGGGCACGAGCCTAGGGCCCTGCTGGGAGCCCGTGCAAACCTTTAGGGGGTGGGTCCTACGTGGACGGGAGGTGGGCGGCATCTCAGGACCCTGGCTCCTCCTCTTAACACTTTGTCCTCGGAACACCTGACCAGCTGCCTCCTCCTCTACCAAGTGAAAGCAACGGAGATAATCGACCATGGATGAAACTGTGAGCCAAAATCTTTCTTTCTTTTTTCAAAAAAAGAGTTGTTTTAAAGTGTGTGTGCGTCGGGGGCTGGTACGGATGCCTGTAGAGGCCAGGGGTTTTAGATCCCCGGGAGCTGGAATTCCAGGCAGTTGTGAGCTGCCCAAAGTGGGTGCTAAGAACTGAACTCCATATTTCCCCCCACTAAGGCACCGCCGAGGAGCACACGCGGGTGGTAATGACTTTTCTTTGGGGTCCTTTCTGGGAGACATTTGGTTTGGTTTTTTGCCGTCGATACCAGAAGTGTGCAAAGCACCACAGAAGTTTCGTTGGTTTCCTCGGACCTTTGTTTTCTTGGGAAACTGCATTTTTCGGGTTCATACGGTGCTTCTCCTCCATTCCAAAGCCAGGCGTTTCAAGCATGAAGGGCTGGGAAAGACTTCAAAAAGACTAAAAAGACCAAAATTAGTAACTAGAACCAGAGAGTGGAAGCCAGGCCCGCGCCGTGCTGTCTGCCTGACCTCGGTGGGAGTCTTTGGACTTTGCCACTGGACTGCAAGCTCAGTACGGGGTGGGGACCTTTGTTGTGTCACTGTTCTGCTGCTAACGCTAGGCTGCTGGGGCGGGCGATCCGAGTTTGCTTAAGAAATAGCCACAGGTGGCTGAAGCCAGTCTTTGAGTCCCGGATGCCCACAGACTCAACAGGTACCACCGTGCCAAACGGACTTTTATGGTAGTCCCTGGTTCAAAGAGACCGGACTGCCGATCAGCCTAGGGAAAGGATAGTTAAGAGGAGAAGGCCCCACCTGTGATCTGCCTGGGCCTCCTCACGCCTTTCTGCTCTCTGGGCCTTGGAATCAGAAAGGGTCTTTGTGGACTCAGTCATCTCAGGGACAAGTCTTAAAAATATGATTTCTTGGTTTTATTTGGCCAATTACAGACATGTTAAGAAACAACATTCACTTTTCTTATTCTAGTGTAGAAACAGGAAAAGCCAACTCAGAATTTTAAAGGTTGAATGTATTTGGCATCAAAGGGAAATTTACTATTTTTTTTTCCCATTTCACCTTGAACTTGACTTGATCCCAGTGAGGCTTATTCAGGATCTCAGTACCAACCTAGTCAAAGGCACCCAACCCAGGAAATCCTCCTCCTGGGAAGTCGACACCCATCGAGTCATGATGATCTTAGTGCCAGCACCTAGTGAGAACTGGAGAGAGGGGCAGAGGACAATCCTAGAGCTACTGTCCTTAACAGGGGGAATGGAGTTAGTAGTTAATAGAGGACACGTGGGAAGACAATAAATGTCCTGAGAGGAAAATGGACACTCAGAGAGGGCAATGACACCCCCACCCCCGGGTCATACAGCAGAAACAACAACTCGGGGTTGAATTGTTTCCATTGTGATGTGCTACTCTGCCTTTGGGGGAAGCCAAAACACATCTTAGTCACCTCCGCTGCGTTAGAAGATGGCCATTGAATGGGGAAATGCTAACTCTGCATTAAATATGCACTCACTGTTGGCATAGTTAGCGTCGGTCAGTTTCTCACAAACCACAGTCACTTGGGAAGAAGGAACCTCTACCGAGGAGTTGCCGCCGTTAGATTTGCCCGTGCGCGCATCTGTGTGGATGTTTTCCTGATTGCTGATTGCTGTATGAGGGCCAGCCCATGGTGTGTGGTGCAGTCGGCGGCAGGTGGACCTGGGCTGGAGAAGAAACTGAGCAAGCTGGTAAGCGAGGCCCTCCATGATTCTGCTTCAAATGCCTGTCAAGCTGAAGCAGCCCCCTTCCTGGTGGTGTTTTTGGCCAGAGCAACAGAAATCAAACTCGTAACAGTTGCCGCCACTGCACTTCATATCTTCTGTCCTTGCCTTTCTCCTCCCTTTTTTGTGGGCCCCAATAATCCTCCATCTACTCCCAGGGTGACCTTTTCAGTTTCAGCTTGGGAAAGATAACTTTTAATGCTTATCTTTGTGCTCCTGGTTTATTGCGCTTCACTCTGTCCACCTGGGCCATCCTTTTTGCTGCAAATGACAGCATTTCAGTTGTCTTGTGTTTTTTTGAGACAGGGTTTTTCTGTGTAACAGTCCTGGCTGTCCTGGAACTCGCTCTGTAGATAGGCCAGGCTGGCCTCCAACTCACAGAGATCCGCTGGCCTCTCTGCCACCCCGGCAGTTTTCTTTACTGCCAAATAAAATTCCATTGTGTATGTATACTATTTTTTTAATTCATTTAACTGTTGGTTAGTACTTAGACTGTTCATATAGCTGAGGTATTGTGAATAGCATTGAAGTAGATGTGAGCGCGCAGGTACCTCTGGAAATTGATTTCATAGCACATATATGTCTAGATAATATGGTCATTCTGGTTTACACACACACACACACACACACACACACACACACACACACACACACACTCTAAAGGATTTTATGAAGTCCGAGCCTTTAACTCCTGATCTGCCTGCCTCAGCCTCCCAAGTGCTGGGATTGCAGGCATGCGTCACCGTGTATCTAACTCTCTGGGGAATCTCTGTGCTGTTCTCCACAGTGGCAATAATAAATTACACCCCCACCAAGAATGTACAGGAGCGATTAAGAGCTCTTCTTGTCCTTCCAGAGGCTCCGAGTTCGGTTCTGCAGACACCACCGCCTGGATAGTTCACAACTGCCTGTAACTCCAGTTCCAGGGAATCTGATTCCCTCTTCTGACTTCTCACACCCATGGCATTCTCTCTCTCTCTCTCTCTCTCTCTCTCTCTCTCTCTCTCTCTCTCTCTCTCTCTCAAACATACACACATAAAAATGAAAATCTTTTTTTTAAAGAGTTCCTTTTGGTCTACATCATCACTAGTATTCATTTACTTAATGACAGATATTCTAACTGGGACAAGATAATGTCTCAATATAGTTTTGATTTGCATTTTCCTTATTTTATTACTTATTTTGAAAGGTAATCTTATAAAGAATCTTAAATCATAAATCAGCTGGGCGGTGGTGGCTCACGCCTTTAATCCCAGCACTCAGGAGGCAGAGCCAGGTGGATTTCTGTGAGTTCGAGGCCAGCCTGGGCTACAGAGAGAGTTCCAGGAAAGGCGCAAAGCTATACAAAGAAAAGAAAAGAAAAGAAATTATAAATCTAAGCTTTTAGATATGAAAAAGAGTCAGTCAGCTCTACTTTAAATCCTTGGGATGCATACCCACTCATCAGTAGTTTTTTATATCAGTAGATTAAGGGCAGAAATGGGTATAAGGAATTAATCATCACCTTTGGTAATCAACCAATCCTAGCAAGAAAGGCATGTCAGCTAGTAATAATTGGGCTGCTTTGTTCTTGTTCCCTGTCCTTAAAGAGTTCTGCATTCAACTATGTGCCTTTCTAGAACTTTACATTATCTTCTTGTGTTTTTGACTTCAAAGCTATTTGAAAAAAATCATCTTAGTCTAACCTTAAGTTATTTTCAAAGCTTTGTTTCAGCTATGATGCACTCTGAAACCTGTGAACACATCTCCCAACATTAAAAGAATTTAAGCTAGCTGGGCTACTGGGACTCAATTGTTTTCCTTAATCATTAACCTAAGCCACAGTCTATATGGCTCCTCAATAGAAACTCATGCGCTCTAGCTGGTGACACTTCCTTGTTTATATATTTAATCATCAAAACTCTATTTAAACTAACATTATTATTATTATCATCAATTAGACAGTACAGCTTAGGAAGAAATCATCTTCATAATAATCCACAGGTAAAAATGCCCAGTAGAACGTGATGTTTCCATGAGATAAACACACTACGTTACAGGCAGTGTGGATCTCCCCACACCCATTCACACCATGCCAGATACCAGAGAAAGATGGCAGCGGCAAACATGTAAAGGCACAGCAGAAGCAAAAGACACTCTAGGGTCTCAGGGCCTTGCCTATTGGAGATTCAGTGATTTTCCTCCTGGTGGGCTGATGCCTTGATCTTTAATTGCCACCCGCTGCTCCTCTGACTTGGCCACTGAGCTACTTCCTGAGCCTGTAGGTGGCCACTCTGTGGTTATTGCCAGGAAGAACCTTTGAAGTTTCGTGCAGTCCCATTAGTCAGGCTTAGCTCGAATTTCCTGTGCTTCGGAGTCCTATCCAGAAAAACCATTGCCTGTGCCAGTGTGTTAAAGTGTTTCTTCCATGTTTTCTCCCATTCATTTCAGTTTAAGGCTTTTGATACATTTTGATTGACTGATATGTAGAGTGAGGAACCCGGGTCAAATTTCAATCTTCTGTGTGAGGATATCCAGTGTCCCCAGCACCGTTTATTTTTTTTCTCCAACAATTATTTTTTTTTTTGACATTTTTTGTTGAGAACCAATAGATGGAAATTGTGTGCCTGGGTCTGTCTGGGATGGCATTCTTTTCTGTTGGTCTAGGTGTTCAAATGTTCATACCATGCTTCTTTAGTGACTGTGGCTCAGTAGAATGTGTTGAAATCAAGTATTAGGATGCTTCCAAGTATCAAGATTGCTTTGGCTAATTAGGATTGTTTCTGCTTCCATATGAATTTGGGGATCTGTTTTTTGGTTTTTTGGTTTGTTTGTTTTTTGTTTTGTTTTGTTTTGTTTTTGGCTCTGTGAAGAATGATACTCTGACGGGAATTTTGTTGACTCTATACATCACTTTTGTATAGTGTGTAATTTAATAATGTTAATTCTGTAAATTCCTGATCCTAAGAGAATCTTCTAATGTTTTCTTCAGTTTCTTTCACCAGCTTTGCAGTTCTCCTAGAAATCTTTACTTCTTAGCCAAGTTTATCCCTGGAGTTTTGTTTGTATGGCTTATCATGAATAAGACTGGTTTCATGATTTCTTTCTCAGCAAATTTATTATATCTCAGAATATATATATTCTGCTAGCTTACTGAATTTCTCATTTCTAGTCCTCTTTTGGGGGATCTTGTATTTTTCAGTGTATAAAAGCATTCGTCTGCATATGGACAATTTACTTTTTTCCCATTTGCATGCCTGTTTTTCTTCCTCTTGTCTAA